CAGTGGGGGTAGAAGGAATATGGAGGTGCGTGCCCCTGAGACGGTAGGATGATTCAAGTCCGAGATGTGTGTGTGTGTGGGGGGGGTTTAGACTGGTTGCACAATGTGCATGAACGGTTTCCACAGTGAGAGGTGAAGTGCACCCATGGCAACATCGATATGAGATCACATGAGGGATAATCGGTAAGCCGGCGTTCATCAGATGGTGCAGGAGTCTGCTTTGGTCATCCATGGTGAGATGCCGATATGCGTCTTGCTAATTACACAATGGTTACGTATTTTGGCATGTACCCATGGGACAGAGTGGGTGAGCGAATAGGTGGTAGGAGTCAAGAGTTAAATCGCGTTATTCATATTGCGAATTGCGCAATAAATTTACAGCTGACAGTTATGACCTTTGTCAATTCAGAGTCAGTATAAGAATTATTTACCCGAGTGCGCCCATTTTCAGCATCTTACAATAACTACATCATTTTACAGGCCTGTTAGCGTATTGTAGCAAGCTTTAAGCGTGGCACCTTTTCGAAATCGCGTGCTACGCATTCAAATTCGTAATGCTAAGAACGCTGTTTTGGCGTCGTTGACACTGGCATTGGTCATGGGATGTTAGCTAACGGGACACCGGTTGGAAACCCCGAGCGCAAGCGACAGACAGTCCGATGGAAGTGATTGGACATCATCTTCTGTGCTGCCCTGATGCGCGAAAAACAAATTTTTTAGATGAATATTGCTACTCGCGTTATGGCAACCCACTTTTCACAACATGCCCCCTGTGTCCCCCCTACAAACCTTTTTCCTCCAAGGGCCCCCTGGAATTCTCTACGGGTGAGTTAGCCAACCGCAGAGCAGGCATTGATAAATCAGCCTAGGCTGAGTGCGCGCCGTCTATCCTATGGCGTGCGCGATAGGTCAACCGCGCATGCGCCCGTTGCTAATTCCGCCACAACCCATGCGCTGTGTAATACGATCTGCCACAATGGCTCGGTACGAGACCATGGTACCCATCGCCAGGCTGTTGAACGATAGCACGACAACGAAACCGCTGGTGAGCCAGTACTATCGATCGCTTCAGTTTGTAGTTTGCCTGTTCGTCCGCACTCGTAGCCGAGTAAACTTCTCGTGTGCTCTGGACCACATTGGTCTGCTGCGTATCACGCGATGCACTTTGGGGTCGAGTCCGCGACCACACCAAAGGGAAGAGGAGTAACAAGTGAGACGCTGTGCGCGCGTGCAGTCGTATGGACGCTTTCGGTCATGTCGATTGGACGGTTTGCCTTCAGAGACTACGCCTCGGCTTTCCTTCAGGCGCGCATTGGTGCGGAACCGGGTGTGTCGGTAGTTTTAAACAAGAGCACATTTAGGAACGATTTTCTTGTTTAAAACTACCTGTAGCCTAGTAGCAGACTTGCAAGTTCGCTGTACCATTGGCTCGGTTGGTCGGTCGCCTATATGTTGATCGCAATCGGTGTAGCAGCACACATCTATGGTGTCGAAGGCGATCAGCCAATCCGAGACATAGTACGTGATTGGTCATGCTGCCAATCTGGCGTAAGCAGGTTTCACTTCCACGCGAGCGGGATAACATCTAAGGAGTAGTAATAAGAAGCGGATTGGTGGATTGCGTTGAGGCTGCAATGCTTGCAGAGTGTTGGAAGAGAAGCTTTGAAGGCTTACGGGTGGACTCTACGGTTGCCTTTGCTCGCTTACCACTCGCTGGCCACACGTGATACGATATGCATGGTGTAATCGTGCCACTGCGAGCAATCTGGAGAATCGATAGGTGTGCAGTTTCGTTTAGGAAATGCATGTTTGTTAAGGTAGTGTGAGGTAATCATAAACAATACAGTACTTCGTATGAAGGAGGTAAAGCTAGGACTTGTTCGCAAAGAGAAATTTTAAAACCTTTACAGCTACAAATTTCCCGTGCTGTGTTGTTTCAGTTGGCCGTACACTCATGAGAATAGTGTCGCTACGGACTGCTGTTGTAGTCGGCGCATTGTTTACTAAGGTCAAGTTCGCTGGGTAGGTCAGAGCATCATTGGATCTGTAGTCATTGTACCAACTAGGAGGGTTCCTAGTGTGGCAGTTACACGACATTAGTGAGTGTTCGTTCGTCTCCACACCTGTGGGCCACCTCGGTAATCAGTTACCGCTCCAGTACCCATGGATTTGCCGTTATCTAAAGGTCGTAAGATGCATGTCAATCCTGCGTTTCAGCATGATATTTACGCTTCACTTCCATGTGGTTGATAAGCTTGAAATACCAGGTGACCGTACGGCCCTGATATGACTCACCAACGAGTATTGCATACGCATAGTAAGCATAGAGTTTGGAGCAATTTTCCTCCTTCAACAATGCCTCCGAAATTACCTACTTTCCAATGACAGAATGTTTCCCGGTAGTTGCCAAGTCGATAACAACGTGTGTGAAGGTGTGCGCACACGGCTGCTCCTAAGACTGGCTGAAACAATGGTCCATAGCAGGATTAGTGGGCGTGGTGATCATTTGTAACTGATTGCAAACCTGCTGTAGGAACGCCTGTGTGTGAGACAACATTGTTTGTCTATTCCAAGTATTAACCTGAATTACTAGAGTAAAATGCGTGCGCCGCCACTAATTATCGACCTTTGCGTTTCTTCTTGCAGGACGATGTGGCATTTATAAAGACGGTAGTCTTTGTAGCCCCTTTAGGTGCTTCTTTGTTGAGTAATGCCGATTCCACGAGGACAGCATTCCAGTCCATGGAAGTAATAGGGAGGTTCAATCTGCATTGACTATGCTTGTAATGGTGCCATTTGGAGAGCCACTTGTCAAAGCGTCTCAACACCTATGGGCGACCATATGGAAGTAAAGCCTAATTATCCTGTGAATACATTGGATCCTAGGACCTTTAAATAACGCCATACCAGTTGACACTGAAGCGATAACTGATTAACAAAGTCGTCCATGGGTGTGGAGACAAACGAACACTCACTAATGTCGTGTCACCGCCATACTTGAAATCATCTTAGTTTATGTTTAGTCATCAACTGTGATAGAAGTAAACACCCATAGAACATTCGTTGTTCAGCTTCAGGTTGTTCTACCTACTTCAATGGGAACAATGTCCCCCATGGTCGTCGCAGTAACAATTGCACGAAATTGTCCAACCGCCTAGTAGCCATTGCTGATTCAGCTTAGGGTGTGCAGTGTCCTAGCCACGGCGTATGCCTGACCAACCGCAAGTGCAGGCCTGCCTGACTCCCCCAGATTTAAGGGACTGCAGAATACCAGTTAGAAGAATACCTGTCTACACTACCATCGCAACCATGGTTAGGCCGCTGAAATAAGCCACCATTAGGTAGTGGCTAGCGATCAATAAGTATAGACCGCTTCATGTTGTGGTTAGTATGTCTATCCGCACTGGTTACTAGGTAAGCTTCGGATCATGTGGTAGCTAGGATCTCCGCCTTAGACAGGCATCACAAGTTACGCATTGAATGGTTTCATTTGGTGAGAAATTATCGGGGTTTCCTTCAGACGCGCATCAGGGCAGCACAGAAGACTGTCGCTTGTGCTCGGGTCTTCCAACCGGTGTCCCGTTAGCTAACATACCATGACCAATGACAGTGTCAACGACGCCAAAACAGCGTTCTTAGCCTTACGAATTTGAATGCGTAGCACGCGGTTTCGAAAATGTGCCACGTTAAAAGCATGCTACAGTGCGCTAACATGCCTGTAAAATGGTATGGTGCTGATGTTCCGTTAAAGTACAGTCAAACCTGCCTAAGGCGACCACTCAATTGACCGACATAAAGTGGTCGCCTTGGACAGGTTCATGCTTAGGAATATTACTCATAAAAGAAAACTGGTGATGTTTTTTGCTGGTCGCGTTAGACTTGTGGTCACCATAGCAGATTTGACTGTATAAATGAAAAATATTGAAATTAGGAACATATGTGTCACCCAAATAAAGGGACCCGAATTGGCATCCTGTTGACTGTACAGTGTTGAAGTCCAGTTTGTCGGTCCGGACGGAGTTTTATCAAGTTGTAAAACGACTGTTGATAATTTCGCGTGGCAATTTCGCGCTGTATCTCAAGATCCATTTTCAAAAGCCGACGGAGAACAGCAATAGTAACCTTGTAAATGTCAGAAATATTTAGTGAAAACTGATTCATCCGCAGCATATAGAGCAAGGACGATGTTCCAGTGAAAATGCAACGGCTGATTTAAGGGCCCATGTTAGTAAAAGTAACAACGATTGTTAGGTGCTGGAGAAAGTGTAGATAAAAATTTGGCGCATAAGGAAAAGAGGAAAGTGCAAATGCTAACGGAGTAATTTCCACTTATGCCACTACCCTTCACGGATATGATGTTGATGGTCCGCAGCCGGTGGATTCGATTCACCGGCGAATTACATGTGGTCAAAGTGCCCAAACTAGTCGCGAAGTGTCACCATCGTTTATCGGTAACTGTTGAGACAAATCGTCGGGGCCCGTCGCCTTGTTTTCCCTCATCGGCACCGTAGGATCGGTTGCCTCGTCAACTAATGACGATGCAGAAGGCTAGCTGAGATAGTCCGGATGTTCATTTTTCCTGCATGAATAATACGCACTTTTGACCATGTTTCTTTCCGAGAAACTGTCAAAAAATACCTCAAGAGAACCAGGCGGTCCGAATCAAACAGCGCACAACAATATTCCATTGAGAAAACGTACACACCACTATCTCCCGACTGTTGCTGATGATTCTAATACTTACACGGCTGCGATAATAGGACATAGATCTTTCGAATCAAGTGGTGATCATGATTTATCAAAACACCTCGCTGTGTGGATGAGATCTTATCTTTTGAATTAGACCAATTGTTTCCTGCATATTTTACGGGTGTTTTGTATGTCTTCTTCCTGCTCCCCAAGTCAGTTGAATTTAGAAGCGTACTTTTTCGTTGGCTGTCAGCACTACTGCGCTGCGTGAAATTTGTTTCTCGCACTTCTGTGTTTCTGTTCTACGTCAGACGATTTTAGAATATTCTGCGGAGACTTGGGTAATGAAGTATCGGATGACACACTTGCTCGAGCCTTCAACCAATACGCTTCGTTCACAAAGGCACGGGTAGTACGAGACAAACGCACGGGAAAGTCGCGCGGCTACGGCTTCGTTAGTTTCTCCGATCCGGCAGACTTCACAAGGGCAATGCGGGAAATGAACGGTTAGTTGATTTGTGTTCTGTTTTCACACATTCGACAGAGACATGCGTGTTTGAAGATATTGAACTTGGCACTACTTTCCTTCTTGTCAGATCTCGTGCTTAACGCAATAACAACCGGCTAACTCACACTACTCTGTCTACCCTCAACTACTTCCATTTCCCTATGGTATATGTCTTTCACCAACGACAAGATTTGCGTTGACATTTCGGTGCTGACATGTTTCCCCCGGTTGATCTGTACCTCGCTTTTGCACACGATGTTTCTTAACTGTTATACAAATGGGTCAACACTTAGTATCTATGCTTCGCTACGATGGAACTGCACGGGCGGCTGCACGCGGGTTGGAATACTCCGCAGGAGCACCCTAATCCGTGCCAGAGCGGGTAGTCCAACTTTGGTTTTGGATGCTGTAACGCAAACGCCTGAACTGGTACACTTAACGAATAGTTTACATACAGCATCCTCAGTGAGTTAGGTCAGTTTCACTTGAGGATTATCTGCACTTTACATCTCATCTCGATTAGTTTAGTGTAAGTCCACATCAGGGCCACTGTCAGCACGAACGATACCACCCTCTTAACCAAGTGTGAATTTCCATTGTGACGAATTTGCTGGAGCTTCTTCCAGTATTTGTCGACAAAGTCCGCTGAATCACTCAAATCGCACCTTCCCATTTCTGACCCCCTTTTTCACTCAAGTTGAGTAAGTGGTGTATCATAGGTATCAGTGCGCGTGACGTTGCGAAGAAGGACAATGCTGACAGCTAATAAATCCTTGGTCCAACTCCTGGACAGGACTTCCGAGGGAAGTCTTAGCTACTCACTTGGCGTGTCAGTGAGCTAGCAGTAATAGTTGCTTTGTGCAGCAGATGTATTTTCCATTGTATTCGCATTACTTCTCACGTTCCTACAACCCACAGGCAAGTATGTTGGAAACCGTCCAATCAAGCTGAAACGTAGTGATTGGCAAAGTCGGCAGTTGGAAACCCACCGCAAAAAAGAAAAAGAACGAAAAAAACTGGGACTGAAGAACTGACTACTGTATTTTCTACTAGTTTATTCTATACAAATTGCCTGTACATTTTACCATGCTTTTCGAGTTTTGACACCTTCAGTGGATCCGGTTCCCCACATGATCCCATTTGTTGCAGAGTGTGCTACTTCGATCCGTGAGTATTCGCTCTTGCACCACTTCTGCTTTACCATGTCGGATGGGACCAGTGCATAAAGCCTATCTTGACTTAGTATCAAACGCGTTTTCTCTTGACTGTCCCTAAATTCTCTTTTTCCGTTTAGTTTGGCTTTTCTTGACTGGTATGTCTATGCAACTGACCTCACCTCTGCACTGGCGAATTGTGGCTCTCTGTATGATGCGTTTTAGAGAATTGCTACCTAAACTTACCGACAGTTTGTATTGTGATGCTAATGGGGCAGTTTTGGATTAAGTCCCAGTGATTCATCAACGGCGACAGTATGCCAGTACGTTGCAGTGATCTCCATACACGACACTTGGTGATGAGGAATCGAAAAAGAGTTTAGAGCGATTCAGCGTAGGACCCGTGGTGCATTCCGCGAACATCCATTTTTTTACAAAATGGTTAGCTACCGTAACAGAAGGTAATTTGCGGTTGGTGGAACTCTTCCCTACCACAGGCGATGGGTGAAATAATCAAGTCAAGAATTCACTTTTATGCACCCATGAAGAGCGAATTTTCAACGGGTTCTTTTTGATTATGTTGTTGCACTGCACTAACCGAAGTCTGACCCCTGGCAATCCATCTGCATATGGCTGATTAACAAATGCCCACTACCCGTTCTTACCTACACCAGACTTCCCAACACTCACTAACCAACTACGTCGATGGCCGACGCGAGTGGTGGTTCGATCTTTTGAATTGCAAACATCCGCATACCTGGACCGAAGCGCAACTTCTATCCAGGCTTAGACATCGTAGAAATATCTCAACAAGTCTGTAACCTCTCAGTTGAATGGTAGCAAAGCGTCAATGCAAATTACCGGTGTAGCGCCAATACTTTTTTACTTTACGTAAGTTTGAACTATAAAACACCTGTAGCATATATGAGGTATCTTCACATGCTCGTTATGGTGAGGTTTCCTAACCACAAACAACTTCATCTGAGTCCACTCGGTCCTTGTTACAGCATCCGGCGCTGAGACTGGACGTGAAGATAAACCCCCGGTCTCAGCCACTTGAGTAAACACATAGGCGATCGAAGTGATGACCGATTGCACATAACAGGTTGCTCTGTGATCCTTTAAAGTGGGGCGGCTGCACTTTTGGGTGGACGACTAAGAGGTTATGTCAAAGCGGAATGGACCACTTTGAAGGCGCCGGCGACCACATTCTACACTCTAGTAGACACTGTACATGCAATGAGGTGTCCCGATGTGGCGTTCAGCTTTTAAGGTATTGCCCAGGTATAGACCCAAGCCACCGGGCTAATCACAGACTCATGGAGTCCGCTCACCTGGAAACTAGTCAAACAAGACTTGTTAGCCTGCCGGAAACTCTTGCATGCTTATTTCCCGAGGACCTGCTTTTGTGCTATCGGATTGTGTCTGCTAACTTAAAAAAAAAATACTCTTTGTCATTAGAAGCGTAATTGGACCACTAATCTGCAAAATTCCCTGAACAACTAGGACGATGAAGCAATTGCTTTTGATACCCGTAATTACGTGGCACAATTATCAAACATAAACTCAACGCGTTACAATTAGAAACCTTGAACTTGATTACGAAGTCCTCCTTAGAATACTTAATGGATTGCTTACAGAAACACAGTTCGAGAGCTCTTCGATCGATTCCAAGAGATTAATCCGACCAGTCTTGACAATATTGTTATATGCAGAAACAAGTTAGCCGACAGCCCACGAGGTCAAAACGGTCAGCTATTAAAAATTTGGGTTTCAGACAGACGCCTGTTACGCTCCAATCGCATATCCCTAAGATATGTATGGACCCGTACTCCGTTTAGACGTAGGAAAAACACCAACGCCGGCTTTTACGTGTGAAACTGTAATCTGCTCCTAACCGGAGCCAAGTGAAAACATATGGAACCAAATGAACCAATGAGAAACAGAGACCAATCAGCGAATGCACTAGTCATGTGATTTGGCGCTTGAAGATAGTGGGTGAGCCTGACGCATCGGTTGTAGATGTCCGTAACAACCCTTCACATGGCAGATAAAATCATGGTTGTAAAATGTAACGTTCTCTTAGGATGGGTGAACGGCGTGGCCTTCGAACAGCGGTCGGTAGATCAGCTTCATCCATTTGGGTTTTGTCAATCGTCTCAGTTTATTCTGTATCAACGGTTCCATCCTTGGTGTCTGATACCGCGGATACACGGGGCCGAATAAAGTAGTTGTACCAGCGTACCGTTTCTCCGGTTTCCAGCTGTATATCGGCTTCCGTTCGTGAACTGGCCAGTACGGTTCCGGGCTGCCATATCGGCTAATGTGGGAGTTTCGTGTACACGTCCTGTTTCGGTCACAGACCCTGGGCTTTATCGCGTGTGTCCACTGGTGCGTTCGCTGTTGTTGGAAACGCCTGGCTTGACGGGGGTCTGGAAATAATATAGCTAACCTTGTGCATAGGCGACGCCCAAACATTGCCTCTCCAGGACTTTTGCCGATGGACTCCAAGGGTGGGACACAATAAGCGAACAAGAGTCGATCTAGTCTGGTGCACAAAGATCCTTGGCTTTGCTTCAGGAAACCTGCCTTCACAGTTTGTAGCGCTCTCTGCCAAACCGTTGGATGCTGGATGATATGGTGTAGAAGTCATATGGTGGATGCCGTTACTCATTATATACTGTTAGAATACTGCACTCGTAAATTGTGGACCGTTATCTGTAACTGCAGTCTTTGGCATGCCGTATATGAATAGGCTAGTGCACACTTTACTAATTGTAGTCCACGAAGTAGCGTTAGGGACAGTATGTACCTCTATCCATTTTGAGTACGCATCCACCAGGAGTAGTAGCATTTTTCCTTCAATCGGACCGGAATAATCGGCGTGAACACGTCCCATGGACCGTCAGGTAGCTCCCAGGGGTGAATCAGACCGTCTGGTTTGTCTTTCTGGTATTGTTGGCATATAGCACATGCGTTTAACAAAGCGTCTATATCCCGATCAATTGCTGGCCACCATCAGTAGGCGCTGGACAAAGCTTTCATGCGGACGGCTCCTGGATGAGCATCATGTAATTTTCTCAATACGGCTGATCTAAGAGCAGACGGAATAACGACACCAGATCCACGCATGATGCATCCTTCATGTAGACTGAGCTCCAATCGGCAGTTGAAGAACGGTCGTAGGACCTCAGTGGATCGGGAATCCCAACCGCGTAACATCATGCGTTTCAGTCGACAGGACCGGGTCTCAGTCTGTAGCTCTCCTAACCATGTTGCTGGATATTGGAGTGGTGTCTAAGTGATGTAATAACTGGACGAACTCGCAAGGCGCTCTATCTTGCTCGTTACTTTGCATTTCCTGTGACAATCTACTGAGGGCACCGGCTACACTATTGTGGAAACCAGAAATGTACCGAATTCGATTGTTGTAAGCGGAAAGGATGAGTGCCCAGCGTATTATACGGGGTGCAATAATTTGTTCTATACCTCGTCCCTCACCAAGCAGCGAAATCAGTGGTTTATGATCTGTCTGCATCTCAAACCGATTGCCCCACAAATATTGATGGAAGCGCTTAACGCCAAATACCACGGCCAGTGCCTCTGTCCAGCTGTGCGTAATTCTTCTCAGCGGCCTGTAGTGTTCGAGATGCGAAAGCAATAGGACGGATGGTTCCATCGTGAATCTGATGTCCTAGGAATGCTCCCACTCTAAACGGTGAGGCATCACATTGTAAGACGAGAGGTTTGTTTGGATCATAATGCACTAGTATAGGTGAAGAAACAAGTAGATTCTTTGCCCTCAGAAATGCTTGTTCCTCTTTTCTTGTCCATGACCACCTGGCTTTCTTGAACAGATCATGAAGATCAAAAGTCAATGTTAGCGAGCATATGTTTTCGATAATTCTTCATCAGGCTAGTACAAGTATATACCAATTACATCGATTAGACAGACTACTGAGTCGTTAAAACGGGGTAAAATCAGTTTACAAGAGGTCAACTATCGGAGTCTTCACACGATCCAACTGAGTAAAAATCACTACTCGATCGGGCCAGGGCAGTTGTAAGGCTTGAACAAATCGCTTCTGAGTGCACAACTTTGGTTCGTACAACCGGATTGCTATAGCTTCAGCGGCTTCTAGTATCCGTCTGCGCATATACTTCGATCGATTATCCGGGGCCTTGTAGATAATTTGGAATGCTTCGGCTGGCCTAGGGTTGTGGCCTGTGTCGGCAAGGTGGGCAGCTATGGCTGAGTTACATACCCTTCTGCATCCGGTCGCTAGCCATGCCGGACGGTGTTCTTTCATTCTCTCGGATAGACACCTAGTCGTACGACCAATGTATCCTGAACCACAGGAACAGGTAAATGAATAGATGCACATAGAGTTGTCGTGGACAGGTCTACTATCCTTGAGACTGAGCTTCACCATCGGTGTGCTGGTAAAGTAGGTATGTAATTTTGCTGCTGGGAACGTCCGTCTAAGCTCCTGTGATAGACGGCGAGTAAGAATTTCGGCAGCGATTTCCCCTTTGTAAGGGAGTTGCAAGAAAATCGCTTTTCTGTTAGCTGTTAAAACAACCGGTGTGTTCATGCTCTTCTCCATGTGAACTTTTATGAAGTGATCTGGATAACCATTTTCCCGCAGCAACGAGCCTATTCGCTGTAGTTCACCTGCAAGTGTATCATGTGAGCAGATTCTTTCTGCTCTACTGACCAGATTATGAATTAACTTCCGTTTCAGCCTAAGTGGCACGAAGCTGTGGAAATTGGTGTACTGGCCGTTCCACGAGCTTTTTCTATATACGTGGCGCTGTAATATCCCGCTATCGAGTCTCTTTAGGCCCACGTCCAGAAAGTGAAAACAGCCATTTTCCTCTACCTCCGAGGTAAAGTGCATTGCATTATGGGCTCGGTTAAAAGTGTTGATGATATCTTCAATATTCTGGGAGGACTGAAACATCACAAATATGTCATCAACATAACGGCGGTAGAGGTTAAAACTTGCGATGGTTGATTTTAGATTCCCTTGTTCAAGCATGCCCATGAAGATATCAGCAAGTACTGGCCCAAGTGGCGAGCCCATTGCCACTTCATCTCGCTGTCGGTATATCTCCCCGTTAAATACAAATTGAACGTTAAACGTGCATCTAAACAGCAGTTCT